CTCGCCAAGTTGCCATGTTGAACGAAGATGAGGAAGTACAGAGAGTGGTAACGTATGTACCTGTATATGCGGTACCATCAACCAGCTGAAGCCGTGGAAGCGAAAAAAGTACTGAGGGGAGGAAAGGTAGCCCCGGAGAAGACTATCTTTCGGGTCACTACTGGTATTTGTAGTGGCTGCTAGACATATTAAGTCAAGTGCAATAATTAATCTCAAAACTGGAATTAATTTCGGCCCAGACTCTTATACAGTATACCGTAACCTAACCTAACCTAACGTTGCCTGACCTCGCTTAACCTACCCCTAAACTACCCTGAAGTAAGCTAATATAACCTTAATTAACATATCCTTCACCAAACCTTAACCTACCCTAACCTAATCTAACCTACCTTAACTTAACTTAACCTAACGCACCTGGGTATGAAATGATCAAGCATTAACCTGATTTGTTACATGGGACTTAAACCAAACACTTCCTATTACGGTTCAATGATTAGAAAGGTGTGTGTGTGTGTGGACAGACAATCTAGTGGTCCCAGGGAGTACTGTCAAGGTGGTATTGTAGTGGATTCCTCCCCTACAAACGCTGTTTGTCGCTGAGTAGCCGACCCCGCGAATTCCCCAGTGTATGCCTCGTGGTCTAGGTCAACCAGCGCCGCCTTACATGACGGAGATCAAGTATTAAGCCACGCCTACCTCCGCTATATAAGACCTGACCTCGTGGTGACCTACCTCTCTTTCGACCTACACCAACCAGCAAGCAACACCTCCTCCTCCACTCCTGCCTGGCGGTCCTCGCTCCCACCGGCGAGCATGGCGACCTACAAGCTGGTCCTCCTCTGAGCATCCTCACCAACCAGCTCTCTCTACATCACTCTTGTAACCACGCTGCCACTTCCCAGCACCAAGCTGCACTGTACATCCAATACAACATGTATACAGAGAGCACATTGTGAGTTTCCTTTCTCCATCCCATCCTGAGTGTGAGCCAACATCTCGTACCCCACAGTATCCAGTACAGCTGGTAGTTGCGGTGTTATAATTTACTCGTCATGCAGCTTGTCGAAAAAACTTAACTGGTTCACTAAAACCCAAACAATAAATAAAGAAGGTAAGCTATCTTGAAGGGGACATTTATATATATTTTTATAGCAAAATCCTAAATAGCTTTACATGAACGTTTATAGGCAATAAATGAGGTGTGTGTCGTGTGTGTGTATAATGCGGGGATCTACAATATTGTACTGGACTTACCCTCTTATCATTAACTCTACAATTAGAAAGAAATGCATTAGCCAACGAGATAGACATTCCAAGCCTCGGATAGATGAACTGATGCTGGAAGAGATATATTGAAATGAGAAACCTAGAAAAGTAAAAATACTTCGCAATGCAAAGAAACAAACTGGAAATTAACAAGAAAAATACGGCACAGAAAGGTGCAGTAAAATTACCTAACTAAAATCTGTCAACTTCCAAGAAATTATGAAAATTTGTAAGGATTAAACTGAACATAAATACTGACATAACTAGCAGACCACAGAGACTCGGGAGTTAGAAGGAAGGAAATGAGTAAGTGAGGTTAACACACACCAGGGCAATCTTTCTTGATCTTCTCAAGTGTCTTCACGATAGCACCTGACTCAGAGATAACCAACACTTCCTCGAACCAACGTTGAAGAACTTCAGAAGTCAGGACCACCACACCCTTATAAAAAGGGAAGGTACAGAATAGCTAATAACAATCACTGTTGGTGTGTCCAGTTCTGGACACAGCCTGAGTTTACTGAAAGACACGCACAATATAAGCAAACCGAAAAAAAAATGACAAACATATACTGGAAAAACAAGAAATAAGTACCGCTTCGGCCATTGAATACAAATCAGGACTGCAGATCTGAACCTGCGTTCAGAAATAACCTACATAAGTGTGAAAGTCAACGTACTCTCTAAGACGTCGCTCAGAACTAATTAAATTCATAAGGTTTGGAAGACTGCATGTGCAGCATATCTTTTCTGTTCAAAGGGAGGAATCTGATCTCATGTAAAGATATTGTGGGTCAATTTATTTATTTATTATTATTATTTTTTTTTACTGAGATTCGCCCACTTGGGCACAGGTCACTGACCCACATCGGGGCCTGGGGGGCGAAAATATAATAATAATAATGAATCATAAATAAAATTCATAATATAAATATAAAATAAAAATAATAAAATAATAATAATAATAATAATAAAGACATATAAAAAAAAGATCAATGGTGAAAACAATATATTATGTATGTTGTGTTGTCAATAGTAAGAGAAACAATTGAAACCCTGTAATTATGTGTAAATGAGGCAGAAAGTCAGATCAGCTACCTGGGACTTGGTCGTATTTGTGATGCCATATGGCAGCAGGGACTACCATTAGACTGTAGCGTAGTGTATGTGGCCAGTTGTCTATTTTCTCTTTGTTAGGCTCACATACATGCGTACATGTAGGAGATCCTATTAATTACACTCCTGTTGGTAGTAAGCAAATGTAAAACACCGACGTAATGAGATGTGTCACACTAGAAACTATTAACAGACATAGAGAGTATTAAATCAAGTGAATGTTATGCTTTTACTGATGGTTCTGTGTAGACAAACACAAGTAGAACAGGTTGTGCAATTGTAACATATAAAGAAAAAGAGATGGTAGTGTCAAACAAGTAAAGGCTGAACAACTGGGCCAGCACAACACAAACTGGACTACCTGGATTCTACAGACTACCTTAGAGAAAGTGGTGGTGGGGTGATATTCTGTGACTCTCAAAGTGCTTTGAAATCATTGAACAACCCGTCAGGTTCTATGTCTAAAGTTGTATGTGATATTAAAAGAATTGTGATAACTGCCAATGAGAACAATTCTCGTATCGAATTTGTGTGGATTCCGTCCCATGTTGGAATATTAGGTGTCTTGACCGTGCTAATAGACTGGCCAATGGTTGACCGTGACCTTGGCCTGTCTAATGCTGTATTTAAAAACATTCAAGTTAAAATCATGAACTCTGATCTAGAAGAACTGAGAAATGCAGAGAGACCTGGCAGTTGTAGCATTCGCAAATTTGACAAATTTGTGACGAGAGGTACCGGTATGTCCAGCATAAGGACAGAAACAGACAATGTGGTTATACAAGTATATTACAGTAATAATTACAGTAACTACGTACGGTAGTACAAAACAATTAACACATACACTCGTGCAGTCAGTCCTCATCACAAACTATATATGTCAAGACTCAAGTGATATTTTCAGTGTGCTTTTTGTTGCTGAACACTTGCAGCAAGCAAGTTGAATCGTGGGACGATATTTTGGTTCGCCGCCACTCTCATGCACGCAGACATCATCTCTCCTAGCCTCTGTCTCTTCTTTCTCTTGATGGTGAGGAGATCTGAGAACCCTCTCTCGGAAGAGTACGTACTGTGGAATGCCGCCAGAACTTGAAGTGCTTCACCAGCGTCCAGCAATCGTCTCATGTTTCCTTCAGGTTCACTGCTACCCAACAGTCGTGGGCACGGTTGCGGCTGTTGAAATGTCCTTCATTTCTGAGTCACGATGAAGTTGGATCAATGTCTCTTGTTCTTGAGTAGGCAGATTGCTGTCTTTCATATTTGAGATAATGAACGGGTTTCTTATCCAGCTCTTCTTCTTTCCTTCTTCCTTGTTCGGGGAGCGAAAATAACGACCAAAATTTGGCTGGAGAACAGGGGTGTTGGGAAACGACCGCCATCATTTTGTCGTCGATGACTTCATCCTTGGACTCTGCAATCACCTTTTCAAGATCATTGAGATCTGAAAATTCCCTTCTTTCAACTCTTTTCTTCCACTCAGAAATTTTCAATTTGAATGCCTCAATTTTGTCACTCGAATTGAACACATCCTGGCCTGGCCCTTGAAGGAAGAGGTTCAACACATTGTGACGGCACCGAGTGTGAGCTCTTTCAAGACCAGACTTGATCAAGAATGGAGCGGGTTCAGGTGCATTCACAAGCTGGTGCATGCCCAGTACTTGCGCGCGGTCACAGTAGTTTGCTGGGTAATACTTGTAGGTGGTTTGGGTTACAGGGTTCCGGAAGACTGCTATAGGATTAATTGCCCTAGCCTGACTTTTAAGTCTACGGGAAATGTGCGTTTCTAACTCGAAACAAATTGCCAATAATGGTGCGTTTACTTGTTTAGCATAGCCACAAAGTTTGTAGGTGAAATATGCATACGTGTCCGTCCACCATAGTACTTACTGTACATAGTCTAATTAAAACTTTATCCAAAATGATGTACAGTATGTGCGTTCTGTTCTAACGTAATTATTACCCGACACGCTGAGCTATTATGAGCCACAGCGTTGAGTATATCAAGAACTGTGGAATGGAGAACAGTACTGAAAACTGGGCTTCAAAATAGCCCTCGAAAAGAGTATCAAGAACAGTGATGGGATGCTGCACAGGCCACCTCTAATTTGGGTGGTCATTAGATAAATAAAGTAAGCCCATCTACTGCACGTTTACTAGAAACTTTATGGGCTATGTTTTAATAACGTACAAACCGCACAATAAAGTGGGTGCTACTATAGCGTGCGGTCTACAAGATATTTAGATTAAGTTAGGTTAGGTCAGGTTAGGTTTATTAGGTCAAGTTGGGTCAGGTTAGGTTATATTAGGTCAGGTTAGGTTATGATAGGTTAGGTTAGACTAAAGTTACCTTTGTAGACCGCACGCTATAGTAGCACCATAAAGTGTATTACCATTCCTATCTAATCAATGTAATACAATATTATATTACTCCATTACGGAAGTTTTTTTTTTTTTTGCTACATCAACAAAGGTAACTGAAAGAGAGAGAGACAGACTCGTTAACATACAGGAGGCAGAAGAGATATGAAGATGAACACATTCATAGAAAGAGTTTCATCATCTGGGTAAGTGACGTTGCGTGTGGGGAATGCACGAGTGATAACAGAGGGGTAAAACAGTAAAGGAAGGGTGGTGGACTGGTGGCGTTGTCATTTGTCAATCAGAAGAGGTTGGGTCTTGATGATATACACATACAAGCGGATGACTAACGAGAGGTTAGTTAAATTTAAGGTAAATCATCTTCGCCACTTGTCAGCGTGTCAGTTGCTTGGGGCAATGGGTTTTATTTTGTGAATACACCGATGCTATGTATACTTGTAACATGCATATTTTTTTTACATATTCATGTTAACTAACAGCTATCACAAACAAATGCATATACGTATGCAAGCACTAATATATTGTACGTATATAAATCCAATACCCAACCCAGTACTGGTGAGAGCTATTACATTTTATATGAATTAATAATCATTACTTTTATATACACATTGCAGGAGGTTGTATTTAGTACACTATTGTGTCCACTTTAGAAGTTTAATGTATGGGAGCTAGCACGATCGGGGGCTTTAAAGTACTGTTATTATTTTAGCATTAACAGTTAAGTGCCCCAGTAACGAGCTTATATATTCTAATGTAACAAATAACAATATGAATATTACATTTTAACAATAACTTTTTTATGTCCCTTCCTTTCATACGACACCAAACGTGCAAATAAGTACAAAAGTGGAGATTAAGACAGAAAACTATTGATTTTTATTTTTGTTATTGTTTTGCCCGCAGCGGCCGCCATACTGAGGTGGTCACGCGGTGATTGGCCAACACGTGGCTGTGACGTCAGGAGACATTATGGCGGGCTCGGAGATACACGCCGCCAACGATCTCACCATGTTTTTCATTTCTTTTGTTGTTGGAGCCACTGTAATTGTTTTAATATGGCTCAAGTGGCGCATGAAAGACAGCAGCAGTGAAACGAGTGAAGGAAGCAGTAAGTACTCTCATAAATAAGACGCAATCAAGTTGTATTGAAGTTTCCTCTAGGTGGTGGAGGGGAGGTTACCACGATTTGCCTTGCAATATTTTCCCGAGTGTACCTCACAGTAGTATATATCACAATTGTATCTGTTGAGTCGCATTCGGCAGTGATTCAGTTTTCATAAGAATTTTCATAATGTGATAAAAATACCTGCTTTATCGAAATGGGAACACATAGCGGGAAAGTTAGGCCAGGAACCGGGTTTGCACTTCCTGCATTCCAACTCTGTTCATCCGCGGGAAACTCGACCCGCACATTCCCGTTTTATCGCTGTTCTGGCTAATGTGGGCCTCTTGGGGCGTAAATTGTGCATGCCAGTCTTATTTCTTGGTGACAGGGCGACTCGGGGCGTATGTTTGGTGTTATGACTGGTAAAGGGGCTGCAATGTTTGTGTGTCAACTAACAGTACCTGGTCTACACTAGGTCATTAACTTAGGCTTATACAATACAATCTTCGGATACATGTGTCCAGCCCTGTTGATGGTACGTAATAACTGCAGTGTATTTAACATCGAGAACATTTATAATGTGGTAAAAGGGTAATTTTAACCCCAATACAGTGATAGAGGAAATGACAAGGAAGTCAAGAAATTTGTCAATTTGATCCTCGGTACTGGTAAACATTTTTGGTCAAGTGTTTTTAATAATTTTGTTTGTAAATAATTCTGATACATATATATATATATATATATATATATATATATATATATATATATATATATATATATATATATATATATATATATATATATATATATATATATATATATATATATATATATAATTTTTTTTTTTAATTGAAATATATCAATCCACTACCTCTTGTGGTAAAGTATAATCATTACCACTTTATCTCTCAGAATTTCACCTTAACCTGTACCCGTTAGAAGTAAAGTTTTTGCAGTCCGTAATATTCTTACAAAATATTATTCAAAATCCATGTTAGCTCTTTGTAATGACAGTTAAAATCATCATGGCTTCACCTGTAACTGAAAAATACTTATTTAAAATGTATGGTAGAATTTTATAAAAGTTAGGTTGGTGGAAATTTAGATAGTTGTTATAATTATCACTTCTAAATTCATGAGGTGAGGAACTATAACTAACATAACATGAATCCACAGGTAAAAAGAAAAGAGGGACAGAGTCCGCATCCTCAAAGAATGCCAGCCACAAGTCATCAAAGAAAAAGCCAGTAACTAGGCGTAAATCTGGGAACACCGTGCACTTTACACACTCTGAGCTGTTGACATCATTGAAAGGACACTCGGGATCAATCACAGGTGGCGGCTTCTCGGCAAATGGCAAACATTTCATCTCTACGGCTGATGGTGAGTCTGAGGGATAAGTTTCATAGATGGTTATAAACAAATTAATGTATTCAATGTGAAGATCCTTTGCATTTACAAAGGTCATTCTGCTGCTAATATTCTTTAAATATTTTACTAAAAGGATTTCTCAACTTTAATATTCTATTAGTACAGTACAGTAGTATGTAATTCATGCAAGGAAGTACCGTCAGCAGTGGCAGTGATTCTAGAACAAAGCCTGATTGCTGTGTTAGATTTTAATGCATTGACAGAAAGTACAGTCTTGTAAAAGATGTGAAACTGAGGAAAAGACATTGTGGAATGGAGCAATAATGGAAGGAAGCCATCAACTGACATTAAATCTCAGGCTACAGATATGGGGATTTTCATCAAGTGTCAACTGGCCTCCAAGATTCCAGGTGTGGTGTTGGGGAATAGATGAGCAACTGATTGTTAAACCAGTTGCCAACAACAAAATATAATGTTCACTTTAGCTAGGTAATAAGTGCAGATAAGCTTGTCATAATTCAGAAGCAATGGCAACTAGTCTAGGATTTGATGCAATATTGGTTTAATAAAGACCGATTTTAATTTATTATTATGGTAAAGTGTTTTTGAACAGAGAAATGTATGCCAGTCATGCCACAGTAGTCTTAATACCTTTCTTTCTCTATAAAGGTACTGTATGGCATAACAACTGGGCATTAATTAAAGCATTCTAAAGTGACCATAACACTCATGGCCATTATAGTGATCAGCATAAGAGAAGTATTTTGTATACACACGTATATATGAATGAACATTGTCCATGTATACCACCCTCCAACTCTGGACTTTGTTTGGCGAGTGATGACCATTTTCTTAGTCATGTTGGTTTTGATGCCTTGCCTGAATAAAATAATTCCTCAAGTTACAAATGTACCCTAATGCCTGGATGAAAATTATCCAGGTTGCAGCCATATTTCTTAAAATGGGATATTTGAAAGCAATCATAACATTGGGACAAGACAAGTTGTGACTTGAGTCATTGCAGGATTCATCTTTAGTTTAAGTTGCTTTTCTGAATTGAGAAACTGCCTTCTGCTGGCTACATCTCCGAGGAACTAAGTGCATATTGACTCATTTTCTGTGCACTTTTCAAAAGTTAGTGTGTAGGAAGAATACACACTGTCCCAAAGAGTTAGTATTACAAGGAAAGCAAATATTTGTAAGTTGTTTTCATGTTGCTAGTGTTTACATCAGTGTTGGGATCTTTTGTTATTGACTTATTAATTTATCTAGTTGAAATTTAGAATAATGTTTAACTTTATAGGAAATATCTCCAGATTAATAAATTAACTTTAAAAAAAGAGGAGGGTTTAGGGGGTTAGAAACCACTCTCCACATGGACCTATGGAGACGTAATGTTTGTGGGCATGGTAAATCTTGTAGTGATTATACATAGGACCGGGAGATGCCCCCCTCTCCCCTCCACAAATTCGGACAAACCAGAAAAGCAGTAATATGATTTTAACTGTTTCCAGTGTTAAGTTTATCCAATTGCCCAGCTAATCAATTCACCAAGTTTGTCAGTAGGCTTTCCTTAAAATCTCTATATAACTGCCATGTAGCTAAATACGAAGAGATGTTGCTCTAACTTCACAAGTTTGGGATGTTGCACTACTGTGGTTGCTTCTTAGATATTAGGCATGGCACTTGTCACTGGTAAAGTTATCAAAATACGACTGAGGCAGTTTTGCCGACATCACCTGACACATTGGTTCTGGTCAATCTGCCTCTTGTAACATAAACAAACAAGTACAGTATTATGTCATAAGTTCCAACACAATAATGTTGTGTCTTGACATAAATTTCAGCCACTTCATGTGTTTCGTGGAAAGATCCTTCAGTAGAATGTGAAATAAAAGAATCTGCCTGCATGGACCTTAAGAAATATATTAAAAAGTCCGGAAAATCCTGGATCATTCTGAACGGTCTGTGTGTTCGTAGGTGCAGTTGAACATCTGTGCGTGGGTGTCGCGCAGCATGCGTCTCAGTTGGGGTCTTGCCTTTATGTGTATTGTATCAACGTGCCGTATCTTGCTACCTACACTAGTTTACGTAAACTTTTTATGGGGGAAATAATATAGAGTGCCATTTGTATTTTATGAAATGGGTAATATTAAAAAAATATTTTATGAAAAGAAAAACACTTGCTCACTGAATACAATGGTCTAATCAAATTGACTGTAGGCTGAACAAGAGCTAACACACTGCATATGTAGTGGGTGGTGGGGCTGGGTGCTGCTACATCACTAGGTTTATTTATTGTTTCAGTATTATATTCTCGTATGATCAGCCTCTTATGGAGTATGATTCATCATGATTAATATAACATCTTCAAAAATAGAAAAAATTACATTATATTATTTGTAATTTGACTTGAAAATAAAAGGATAATCTGTATTGGAAGGTATTCACTCAGGATGTGTTCCTGTGAGACATTTCAGCAAATCAGCTTTCAACAGGGTCACTCTAACACACTAGTATTTGATATGGATATACCTTCCTAACAGCGCTATTCATTACTTTTGAGTTATATATGATGGCTCGATTTGGTTACTTGTACACTTTGACAGCTGATGAATGAATAAACCAGGGAGTATGCAAATACATAAAACATGATACAATATTATTTACTAACTTCTGATAAATACTCCATAACATTACAGGGTATTTATTAAGTGCTGATAAATACAGTACTATTTACTAAGTGCTGAAGACAAGTGTTGCGATGAAGAGTGCTGGTGAGTGAGCTTGGATGATCAGCTGTTGGTGCTTTGTAAACAAATGAATGGGAATTTAATACATGTAATGGCTTATGGTGTTGAGTGTGGGATTCTTTTTGGGGGGAAAGATTATTATTTTATGATATTTTATCAATTCGACACCAAATGAACCTAAATTATATGAGAATTATGGTGAAATTGTATAAAGACATGGGAAAGGGAGGGTGGGAGCCATGCCACCTATGCTCACAGATCACACTGTATACCTTTATACTGTTATTGTTTATTTTTATCTTTAAAGTACAGTTCAGTACACATGGTCTAGTTTTCTCTTTACCAATATTCATAAAACAAATCCTGTGGTTACTTGCATATTACACTTTACAGTATGAAACATGCATTCCAGAGAGATGATGTAATAGTGTTTTACTAACTTTGTGATGCACTTAAAGACCTTAGATGTTGAAGTGCAGTAATAACTTTATACGGTGTAACAACAAATTTTCTTGAAACAGCCCCTATGAGCAGTGCTATGGCCAGACTTTTCCCCTCCCCCCCTCATAAATTTACATTTTCCGGACTGTGGTCTGCCCCTATTAGTCTGGTGTATCGAGGTATTTCTGGATAGTATATTATTTTTGATATTTGTCTGCCCGCCCCTTTCTTTCGTCATTCGTTATTACTATTGACACTTTTACCATTTTCTTCTCCTTAACCCTCTTGTGTATGATGGTTTAACCCCTGGAGTATGATGGTTTAACCCATTGAGTATGATGGTTTAACCCACTGAGTATGATGGTTCAACCCCTAGAGTATGATGGTTTAACCCATTGAGTATGATGGTTTAACCCATTGAGTATGATTGTTTAACCCCCTGTGTAACAAATAAATGCTTTTGTCTCTTTTATTTAATGTAACATATTTTATGTTTATTTACTTCTTTACTTATTCTTACTTCTTTCTTTTACTTATACTCGTGAGAGGTGGAGAGGGAGGGAGGGGGGGTAATTGTTTATGTTTGGTGAGAGGGGGAGTACTATATATATATATATATATATATATATATATATATATATATATATATATATATATATATATATATATATATATATATATATATCTATATATAAATGTTTATTTTTCTTATTTTAGTACTATATATGCTATTGAAACCCCAGTTGCTGGTGCATTAAAGATAAATCCCTTTGGTTAGTATTAAATTTTGAATTCTCACACAATACAGTGCAAAAAAAACTTACTTTTTAGTTTATCTTATCTTAATAATTGTGCACAATTAAAAATATTAAACAAATTCAAATTTAGTAACAACTATAATTTGTGAAGGAATTATTAAGACTCTATGCACAAAAAATATTGTTGCAATAAACATACATGTTTGATTTTGGGTGCTGTGTATTTTAACTATTAGGCACTCATGAAATGGGTAACAGTGTAATAAATTAAGTTAAATATGGTAAAAACTTCCGGGTAGATGTTTCCCCGGACCCTCCCAGCTCATTGTATCCCATTGTGTTTTTTAGTCTTAAGTGTTTTGATGTGTTTTATAGCAGGGTTAATACAGTGCACTCTGCTTAATGAAGTTATTCTTCATTTAGATAACCCTTAAGTAGTTTTACACGCTTATGACAGTATTAAGTTTTCTTTTTTCTTAACCCTTCATTAAGCAGAGTTCACTGTATTTCCTGCAGTTGGAAGTGGTGGACGTTTTGATCCTGGCGGAAGAAGGGTTGACAAGATGATCCCTAATAAGAACAATTTCGCTCTGGACGACACCCTGGACCTCTCCTGCATCTCTGTGGGTGGCAGTAGCAGCAGCCTGGAAGAGATTGATAGTTCGTCGGTCAGCAGCAGCAGCCACGTTGCTACCAGCAACGCCCCATCTGACACAGAAGACTGTATGATGGCTTCAAATATTTCGAAAATGTCTCGCAGACAACGTAAGAACAAGAACAAGAAAAATAAATGTCGGGGAAGTTTGTCAACCAGTCAAGGTGGGACATCAAGGGTTGTGAGTCAAAGTACAAAACTACTTTTTGACACCCTTGGCAAAACAGAGGAACAGCTATATGATATGTTTTTTCCACTTTGTTGTGGGACAGAGGAGAGAGTGCTTAATGGTTACCCATATGTTAGTAATCTTGGCGTATTTGTATTTAGAACCTCTGGATTCACTACATTGGCGGGGGTTTTGAGTGGTTGTGAACTAGTGGATGCAGAGATGAATAACAAGCAACAAACAAGTATTCATGACATGGACAGTGTTGAAGATAACAGTTCTGATTATTCTGAGCCAGAATCTCTTGAAGATGTGAGTACGAGTGATAGCTATCACGATGACTGCCAGGAAACCTCCTCTGGTATTAGCTCTGACAGCAAAGATAGTGAATGTGATTATGAGGGTACTTACGCCAGTGATTTGGATGTTAATAATTGCTCTAATTTTGATTCCAGTCTCATATACGAAGAAAAGAAACTTAGCAGTTTTCAGTTAATTGAAAAATGTAAGAGATGTAAACAAAATTTTGATGTAAATGATAATGGAAGGAGAGCATGTCACTATCACCCAAAGAAAGTGACGATGAGGAAGGATGATCAGCTACGATATCAGTGTTGTAACAAAATGAAAGGTGTACAGGGATGCACCACAGTACCAATGCATGTATATCACAATCTAAAATCTGGTGTCAATGGGCCATTAGAGGGTTTTATTGCCACCAGAGGAGGAGGATTGAGAATCCTGGGTTTAGATTGTGAGATGGTCTTCACTACAGAGGGTTTTGAATTAGCAAGAGTGACTATAGTCAGTATTACTGGGAAAGTATTGCTTGATCTCTATGTAAAGCCCAATGGACGAGTGTTTGATTACAACACACAGTTCTCAGGCATTACTGCTGGACACATGAATCAAGCCATTTCATTCAATGAAGCCCGGGAAAGGGTATTGAGTGTGGTGTCAAGTTCCACCATCCTTATTGGTCACAGCTTAGAGGGTGACCTTTCATCACTTCGAATGGTTCATCGCATTGTTATAGATACTGCCTTACTCTTAAAGGCCCCCCAAAATTCTCAGTCGGTAGTAAATAAGCAATCATTAAAGTCATTGGCCAAGAGGCATCTTTCTCGGGATATTCAGAAAGGTGGTAGTAAGGGCCATGACAGTCTAGAGGATGCTTCTGCTGTCTTGGATTTAGTTCTTAATCGTTTTATTGAATCTCGTAAAGTTTTTAAAGTTGCACCGTTACCAGTTGCACTTCAGAATATGTGATGTGATTCGTGTATAAGTTTTTTAATTTTAGCATACAGTACAGTACTGTACTTTTCATACAGATGAGTGTTTATGCTCTGGGAATCATGTAATTGATCATATCACATATTGTGCCTTAATTATGTACTCAAAAGTTGCCTGTTGGGATTTTGTTTGCTTAATACATGTTGAATGCTCTGTTTTTGCTCAAAGCTTTTTTCTTAATTTTTATTAGTTTATGAATGCATTGAGTGCATAGCAGTTTTAAAAGGCATTTACTGTAATATATTCCTAACAGGAAAAAAATTGTACTTGTAATGTGGAACAAAGGTTGGTACAATTGGAAATAAGTTATTTCGTTTTTTAACCAAAGTGTGAGATGGAATGAATGGTGTAATAGTGTGAAACTCATAATTTTAGTTATTTATCTTACATAGGATAGGACCATGTGGCAGCTTTTATATTTAGGGTTACTGGTAGATATTTTTTTTTTAAGTGGTTGTGATTTGTGAAGATAGGTAGGTAGTGGTTAGTCTTTTATAGTGTATAGTTTGCTACATTTTGATACTAATTGTGTTTAAGCAGAGACAGTGTCTTGGCAACAGGCATAGCTGTTGAACATGTAGTTATAGCTGTGATAATTAGCATTCCAGTTTTGGAGGATTTATTGAAAATGCTGTTCCATGCCAATTGGACTTGTGTGTGCAAATCAGGTGGCTGAGGTGTGGGCATGGCCTGTCTACTTTGTCTGGCTTATCAACTTAACATATTTTAGTGCCAGAAAATGCATGGAATGGCCAGTTACTGTACTTGGCTTTCATGTGGATTTCTTAGTTAAAGTATTAAAAGTTACTCCAAGCCAGCTGAGCGTGTAGCCATCAATGACTGCTGTATTTCTCTATTCAGTAGTTATCAAAATGCTCTACACTTACTTCGAGTAGTACTGTGTGCGCCTTTTGTTTTAATAGCATTCAAAATGGAATTCCCTTGGTTTGTTTTTAATGTGATGTAAGTTTAATTTTAGTTGAATGTGATTACCTGACAATTTCTGTAGTGTTGTGATGGTTTGAAGCTAATTTTTATTTTGGAAACGACACTTTGTAACTTGAACTTGTATTGTCCTAGAAATTTTTTTTTTATATTTCTTGATCTCGTAGTTTAAATCATAATTGTCTTTTCTATTTTGTCAGTAAATAGATTAATTATTGTATCATAAAATTTCTATTGGTTATTCGGTGGATTTGGTGTCGGACGTGGCAACATAGGCGCAGTTTCTATATTTTTATACTGTATCATTAATTTTCTTTTTGTTTATGGTGGCCTAAAGGTGGAGAAGTGTACACTGTTTGAAGGCTAGGCAATGGTTTGGATGAACTTGAATTGTATTTTTATTTTTATCATCTTTCTCTACTTAATCTCTTCACTTTTAATCTTTCCTTTTATGGGACAAAATTATACATCTTTTAATAGGTCTAAATGCATGAGAATAGTCCCATCTCATCATGTTCTTCAATCAGTTAGCTTTTATTAAACAGGTTTAATGTTTCAGTCATTAATTTAGGGTAATTTGAACATTTATAGTCAGTCACTAAACAATGTCTCTGCAGCTATTTAGAAACAAAAACTGAAAATTAAAAAATTGTTATGCATAAGATAATACTTAGATTACTATGACTCGGTGAATTCCTTTGAAGTAAACATTATATACAGTATTGCCGTTAATAAAGTTTTAATTCCTCGAATATTTATTGGATCCTTTTTACTTTAATTTTAGTTAATATACAGTACAGGTATAAGAAATCAGTTCTATGCTAGGTGGCAGACTGATGTCTTCTTCTCCTTGGAACACAATTTTAGGGGATGTATTTGTATCTGGCTCAGGTTTAACCCTACTCCCTGGGCTAGTGTGCCGCTGGCCATATCCCCCACACGGGGTAAATCGAGAAAAATCGATTTTACCAAAAATAATTTTAACCTTTTTAACTGATAAAACAATCAAGAAGAAGTAAGAAACACTATATGTTGACTCTTTAGAAACTTCCCTGTTGCAGCGGTGGCGAGGGAGATAAGGGGACAGTGTTGTTTTGACGGCTGACGCTCGTGGTCACTACGCACTTGGCGGCCATTTTCTGCCTGCCTTTGTGTCTGGGATGGCCAGTAATGCATCTATTTACTAATCATAATACTTATTTCCTATAAATAATTCATTTTGAATATTTGTGTTTGGTAGAGCAAGTACTATAATGCTTAAAATTATAATAATTCCACAAATAAATACATTTATAACATAATCATAACATTAATTTCCAGTAATACTACACTACAATACAACTACAGTACACTACAATTAGCAATATTACTTTGATACAACATGATAAAATGGACAAACAATGAAAATGAAACAAACAAAAGTAGGTAATTACATTCAGGAAGCTTCCCTGTGGCTGAGGTGTGGCGTGACAGGCAAATAGTCACACGAAGCTGATAACCTGCGCTGGGCATTTAAACAGTGGCAGGACAAGGTGCGCGTTCTGGAACGTCATCCGGGGCGTAAGGGTCGAGAGGGAATATTGTTCTATTAGTCGAGTTATATACTGTACTTTGTTTAATGTTTACAGGCTCCTCGCTGCAATTACTGTCACACTGACCTGACACCTAACCATATCCTAGTTGACTGCAGGTCTTTTAATCTTGATCTTCAAAGGAGAGACTTCCTTAAGCCCCGGGTTAGGGTGCTGCTGGCAGTAACCACCCTCCCCTCCCTGGGGATAAATCGAGAAAAAAATTTACTGTTCCAAAAAATAGTTAAAGAAAATAGGCTGACGTTCTGGAACATCACCCGGGGCCTAAGGGTTAAACAAATTCCTTACCAAAATTTTAAATGATGGAGATGAGATTAAGGTTGTTAATTTTTTTTTAATAAATTCAGTTATATTACAAATTGTAATATGGAAATAGTTTTAATCAAAGGCATGTGCTATGTAGCCTTGCTTGCTCCTGTGCCCAGTGGTCCGATGGTGCAAACTGAGCCAAGTTTTTTAATCCGTTTGTCGGAAGGGGTGAAGCATCAGCTGGTTTTAATTGGATGTGGTTTTTTTTTATATATATAAGGGATATTCCCGAGTTGTCATACAGCACTGAATGGCCTATTGGCTCCAGTGCTTAACTTTCAGACTAAATTCCATAAATTAATCAATCAATTGATCATGGGTATGAGCATGTGTATGTACTCTTAACATCTTGAAATAGATGGTCTAAATGTACTGCGAAGGAACTTTTTGGTGCTTCCAAGTCTTCCTAGTACTGTACAGTAATAATAAGACTCAGGATACCCAGACCCAATCCTTGAGATGAAATAACAACTAATCCTTTGTGTCAAAGGATCTGTGCATGTTTTAGCAAGATTGTAATCTGACCTGTTTGTGCCTGATAACCTAAAATGGCATTGAGGGTGAGACTCGCCTTCATCTAATGACAAATCAGACTTTAGGAATGAGGAACCAAGTGATTTCTGGTAACTTAAAATGATGTTAGTGACACATTTGTATTATGCCCACTCCCCCTTTCTTTCAATGTGATAAACATTTGAAAATTCCCTGATGATTTTAATTCTTCATTGCCTGTAGAAACAGTTCTTTGCATAAATCAAGACTGCTAGTTACCCAATCAGTATTTGATCAAAGTCCATGATTTAAGCTAAAAGAATGAAGTATCCAAAGGTGGAAGTTAAACACTCCCTGAAATGGCAAAAACTTATGAGATTCATGCTAAACAACTTGAATGCACAATGGCAAGAGGTAAACATTTGACATCAGTTCTAGCAGTTATGCTATGATTCCATTAAATGATGAGAAAAAATTAATAATGTGCCAGGTCAATGAGACCAACCAGTGCCCTCCCTCACAAACCATAAACTCTTCACATTGTCTCAACAAAATACTTTGTATAATCCAAAAACTCCACTCACAATTTTACCCTGTCAATTTAAACTACTGATATACCATGTGCTGAAATAAGCTGTCTTTATAGGCTACTGTACTGGGTATCTTGGGGCCATAAAACAAATATTCCCACAAAAAGTACACTTAACACTAGGTTTGATCACATTTTTTTAATGATTTGCACTTCACGTTGTTTTCATATGTAACAAATCAACTATGATAATTATTGAGTATCAGGGTTTTGAGGTACCGAGAAACCTAAATTCTCAGGGAAATGCGGCATAACCAACATAATGAATGAAATGAAACTGTCCTATGAGGAAAATTCATTTTATCCATTCATGAGAACATAATGTTGCCACAAAAACTTTCACTTAGCTGCTTGTGAACAGTATGGCTTCACTCATTTATGCTCTTTTTTGGCATAATGGTCACCAAACTGCAATTACAATACTGTACAGTCCAGTTTATATTGTAAAACCAAGGCTAATGCAAGGAAAGACTCCTCAACAGGTATACTGTACAAGTACCATTGGTTAACCTGGTAACCTACCAAGCACCACAGTAAATCTTGCCTGGTATGAGGAGATATTTCTGACAGATCCAGTGCTTTTTTTTTCTTTTTTTTTGTGGGGATTAGCCCACCCAGGCACAGGTTACTGACCTGTACATCAGGGCTGGGGAATGTAATCTATATGTATATAAAACAAAGAAGTCTGTCTGTTTGTTTATTTGTTTGTGTGTCCGCACGAGAATCTCGGAAACTACTTTACCGATTGTAGTGATGATGGATGATGTGCGACCTTCGCTCAGGATGTTGCTGCTACTGAAGGTGAGAAAATGCCCAGAGTTTTGGAAGGACTAGAACATTTTGAAATGTATAAAGAACATTAGTGCAGCATGGGATGAGGTTACAGGATAGTGCATGAATGGAATATGGAAGAAAGTCCTGAAAAGATATGTGAACAGTTTCAGAGGATTTAATGAAGATGAAGTAATTGCTGAGATTAGTAACAAAATAGTGGAGTTGGGTAAACAGCTTGAGTTAGAAATTTATAATGAAGATGTTGAACAGTTGGTTGAAAGTGTTGCAGAAGAGCTAAGTAACGAAGATCTTATCGAACTGGAAGCACAGAAAAATGCTGAGGAAGAAGAGAGTCTAAATGTAGAAGAAGAACCTGCACCCCCCAAAAATTTTCAGTGGAACAAATGGCAGAGGCATTTTCTACAATTAATAAGGGGATGCAAATGTTTGACGGAATGGATCAAAATGTTGAGCGTTTTGCCAAAGTTGACAGAATGGTCCAAGATGCACTTGCTTGCTACAGGGAGATTTATAACGAAAAGAAAAAGCAAACTGTGCAGTCTAAATAGGACATCTATTTTAAGAAGTCCCCCATTGCTGCCTCGTCACTCCCTAAAGATGATTCAATACCTTCAACCAGCAAGTTTCCCCTGTACATAAACCTATCTGAATAAAGCTACATTGATGACCCACCCAGCCCTGTCTCCTCTGCTTCATCCAATTAATATAGTCTCCTTGTATACCTGTAAATAGAAAATTATGGGGGCATCGTGTGCATTCAGCCGACTACATTAAAGGTAAGTGCACAGTAACACTGTATCCATTCTTCATTATTTATTACTTTTACGGTACTGTATTTCATTTTAGATTTTATATGTATTATTTTTTGCATTTCCGACTTACGACCTGGATTTGGGTCCCTAACTTCGTCGTAAGTCGGGGAGCAGCTGTACTGTACACTGCTCTCTCTAGAAGTTTAGATACAACACACACTGTATACTATTTTTTAAAATTTGAATTTTTCTAAGTTTTACAGTACTGTACAGTAATGTACTGTATATGAGTGTTGTTAATGAGTAAATAACATCAAATATTTTCCACAGATCGAACAGTGTTGATTTGGTCTACCAAAGATTTTAGCCAAAAGGAGCACAAGAGTGTAAGAGGAAATATTGAGTTTGACTATGCAACTAGGGTGTGCTGGAGCCCAGATGGCAAGGCTTTCATTGTGCACAAGGCCCTTGCTAATGCCATGGAGGTGTACAAGGTGACAAAAAGACCTGATGGTACTTTAGGAAATTCACAGGTGGCTCTTACATTCCCACAGGTAAGATGACTTTCAATGTTTATACAGTATCTCTGTTGGGTCATATTATCGACATTAATGTGTAGGGAGATGTCTTGTTATCTCGGGAAATATAACCTATCAAAATTACTAGTAATTGCTGCAAGAGTTTGATCCCCCCAAAATGAGATAAAATTACATTAATACAGCAATAAGTTCAATTATCTGACACTTATACTCCTTTTGGAATGTTACAAGACCAGACTAGTGAGTGTGGTAATGCTGTAATATTCTTATTACCACTACAGTACAATAAAAATAATGTAAGCTTAATGGCTGGTGTCTCCCTTTAGCCTGAGAGGTTATAATGCAGTAGCTCTGGGTCTATACATGTTCACTCTATTGTTGCACATCTATCAAGTAGAATTTTCTTACAAAAGTTGCACGAATAATCACCTTGCCAGAAAAATATTTAAAGATTATTAGCGTATATAAGTTAGGTGAAGGTAGGTGGAATCACCAGTACATCAATTTTTTTTTTTTTTTGTGGGGGAGGGTTTTTTTTTATGTTTATAATCTTCATATATTATTTTGGTAAATGATTTGTGGTATTTACATACAGTACTGTACCTGTATAACAAATACCGTATTTGATTATTGTCAGGAAATTGAAGTTAACAGTTGTGTATCACTGGATAAAACTTCTA